TAAATGGTGTCTATTATTATTAAGGTGCTTCTGAATGCTTTTGTTAGATTTTTAAAAACAGATTCATTTTATATATGTATATATATGTATGAAATTCAGAATTTTGTTATTCAGATCTGTATATGTATATATATAAAATTCAGAATTTGTATGTGTTTCTGTGTATGTATATATAAAATGATGGGAATTTCTGAATATTCACCAAATAACTAGGGCATTTAAACTTGACTAGAGTGTTCTTGTTAAGTGTTCAAGATGTCATGAACTCATTTGACAATTGGTTACTGAGTGCTGCCTTAGTACACCATGCCAGCACTGGAGGTGTGGTGGCACAAAGGCACTGCTCTTGATTTCATGGAGCTTATAGTCTAGGGGTGGAGGTGGGGAGCAAGACTTTGCTCAAAGGAGCACACAAATGAATAGATAATTAGATTGTGACAGATGCCCTAAAAGAAAGATAAATTCTACTATGAAGACACATGGCTAGGGGATCTGACCTGGGATGGATAGTTGGAGAGAGATTTCCTGAGGAACTGACATTGAGCTTGACCTCTGAAAGATGAACAGTAGTTAAGTGGGTGATGGTGGCATGAGCAGTGGGGATCAGAGGAGCATTCAGCCAGGGGGAGCTGATTATTCTTGTTTTGACAAATAAANAGGTTATGAAAAATAGAATCTTCTATGGTAATGCTTCCTATTTTTCAAAGCAGTGTTGTCTGCATTATTGTATTTGATCCTTACGTTATTATCCCCATGTTACAGGTGAGGAAACTGAGGTACTGCAAGGTCCACTGACTTCTCTGCATAAGTGGGGCCTAGGGTAGGAACCTCCTTGAATAGTTTGACCCTGATTTTCCAGGTGGAGGATTTTTTTTATTAGAATACAGGTAAGGAATCTCTTAGATAATTACTTTTACAAATTAAAATGGCCACCACATATGCTAGATGTCCTAGCAGAGCCAGGTGGGGTAACTTGCTGTTAATGCAATAAAGAGTCCTTTTCTCTTAGCTTCAGGGTGGCTGGGGGTTCAGGAATCATGGCACAGAAGGAGGTAGGAAGCCAAGACTGGCTTCATTAGAACTCCTTGGAATTAGGCTTTTTCTGTTTAGCTAAGAAAATTTGGGGGCATTATGTAGAGCAGTGAATCCTTTTCCAGAAGCTGGTAAATGCAGTGAAATTAATACCAGAGATAATATAGACGTTACAGAAATACTTTTGTCCATGCTCAATCTCATTCCATCCACACTGCCCTTCTTTAAAGTTAAAATAAAACAAAACTCACCCTGGACCTTTCCTGTGGCTTCTTTGTGTCACAGAGCTTGGTTAATGCCTTAACTGAGTTTGAAGTTTTCTCCTTATTTGTGTATCTCTTTCCCCACATGACCTGAACATTCTTCCTATGTTTAAAAATAGCCATTCTAATTTAGTGGAGAAATAGGTAAAATTTTCAGGATTGGTGTCAGGCTGGGTCACAGACCCTGCAAACCCATTGTGTACCGACTGGGTCACAGACCCCTGTCAGGCTGGGTCACAGACCCCTCATATGCCATGCAGACTGGGTCACAGCCCCCTCATATGCAGGTCACAAGCTGGGTAATTGGAAAGATCCTGGGAACCGTTGGCAAGGTTGACATGCTTCATTCGGATGTGAGCTCAGCCCGCAGCCTCCTCAGCAGCAGAAGCTTGCAGCAGTCTCCAGCAGATCCAGCAGCAGTTGTCCCCTGGTGGCCTCCCGGTGGCATCCCCAGGGTCCACTGTGGATCAAAGCCATTTGTCCTTTATATTTAAGTCAGATAAACCAAGGGACACCTG